GAGACTCCTCTTCCTCACAAGAGCTGGGCTGATTTTCCACCCCTGAGGGGCTAGGAGTATGTCTTGCATTCTTTTGGGCCCTGTGTGATTTAATATGCTTTGTGTTCACAGCAGTTGCTCAATAAATTACATTTGAACAATTAATAATGAGAAACAATAAAATAAAACAATAAAAATGTTGATTGCCCCTTTTTTATTGAGTTGTAACTGGCATATAACATTATGTTAGTTTCAGGTGTGCAACATAATGATTTGATATAGTATATATTCCAAAACAATCACCATAGTTAGTGTAGTTAACATCCATCATCATATATAACAATGTTTTTCTTGTGATGACTACTTTTAACTACTCAGCAAGTTTTAAATATGCAGTATGGTGTTATTAACTATAGTCACCATGCTGTACTTCGACTGCTTCTTGATTGGCTTCTCTTTCTGTAAGTTTAGAGACATCAGGATGGAAAGAGCAGAGATTCTAAGATTTCATGGGACCTAGGTTCAAATACTGATTTTGCCTGTTATTAGCTGGATACTAACGGGCAATTTGCTCTCTGAGCCTCAAGCACCTCCTCTGTACAATGAGGGTAACATTACCTCCCCCAAAGAGTTATTATGAGGATTAAATGAAGAGATTTATGTAAATGTGACATAGGATCTAACACATATAAGTCCTCAAATGCCAGGTCTCTTCCCCTAGCCAATTGAACCTTGGATAAGAGGCCTAGGAAGACTTTTTCCTAATATGAGGGCTCCATTCACTTGAGACAATGAGTCTCTTAATGAAAGTGATAATATAAACAGTATTACTAGGTGCCAGGCACAGGCAAGGGCTCTCCACACATTATCTTTGCCTGAACACTTATAAACTACAAAGACGAGCACTGAGAGTTTCCTTTGTTTGCTCAAAGTCACCCTGCTGGGTCTTAAACCCAGTTTGATTCAAGAGTCTTTACACCTGGGACGCCTGGGTGGCTTAGTGGTTAAACGTCTGCCTTCAGCCTGGGGTATGATCCTGGGTTCCCAGGATCAAGTCCCACATCGGGCTTCCTGCATGGAGCCTGCTTCAGTCTCTGCCTCTCTCTCTGTGTCTCTCATGAATAAATGAATAAAATCTTAAAAAAAATAAAGTCTTTACTCTTTACTTCTCTACACTGGCTTCACTTACTCAAAAATTCTTAGCAAGTGAGTGGGAAGGTTTCCACACTTTGTCAACTTTCTCTCCTCTCAACTGAGGTAGCACCTCAGTCTAGAAAGTTGACAAAGCAGCAAAGAGCAAGCCTTCATTCCTTTTCTAACAGAGCTCAGCCTCAGCACCTCCCCATCCTCATATAGTCCATTCCCACCTGACCCTGAAGCTCTTCCATCCAATTTCATCCTCATCTTCTTCATCCCCCATCCCATTGCCACCATATCCCACCTGATTCCTTCTCCAACTCTGTTCCACTCTTATCCTCGCCCCTATCCCTTTGAGGCAGAATTTGGGTTGGGTTTTGTCCCAAGGCCTGAGATCAACATCTATGACCTGAGGTAGAGAAAGTTTGTTCCCTTTTACACTGTTAGTATGAACGTTTCCATAAATTTCCTCTAAGTCACTCTTCCCTAGTCCTCTTTTCTTGAGGTATTTTTGTGGCTTCCCTTGCTTACATAATTTTCTGGAGTCTATCTTCTCCCCTACACCCCCTCAATGACCTCATTTTCTCAAAATGAGAAATCGCCTGATGGCTGCCTGTTCCTGGCTTATCCCAGTTGCTTACTCTAATCTCAGCAACAAATGGCTTACTGGAAACCTGGGCAAGGCTAGACTGGGCAGCCAGACCACAAGAATATATGCCTAGGGTTGATATCTAGAACCTGGTTGGAGTAGGGCATTAGAACTTGAGGCCAGGGAGGCTGGGTGCTACTTGAGGCTATTCAAGATCATGATGACACATCCCTGTGTCCAGCTGGACATGCACTTGACATTGTCTGGTGTCTGGTCTGGGCAAGAGTGATCATGGAGGTTTTAAGAGATCCTCAGGCCCTATCATGGCAGGGAGGGTAGGGCTGAGTAGAGAGTGTTACAGATAATCATGACCGCCATATCAACAACATTCTCTAGTCTGGCAAGGAGAGGTGAGTTAGGAGGGGGAAGATAAATACTTTGAGCAGTCTTTAGAAGGAAATAAGGCAGGCACTGGTGGGCCAGATTTGGGAGTAAGTTAAGGTTGAGATTTAAGCGACTAAAGTTTAGGATTAATCACTGGTTGTACACCTGGTGAGGAGCAGAGGGGCTGGAGGCCCATAGGCATGATGATATTAATAAGTAGGTAGATTAATAATTATCACATATTGCAAATGTATAATACATTCTTATGCTATAGTGCAAGCCCTGATGGTTTTTTCTTCCTTCTTTTCTTTTCTTTTCTTTCTTTTCTTTTCTTTTCTTTTCTTTCTTTTCTTTTCTTTTCTTTTCTTTTCTTTTCTTTTCTTTTCTTTCTTTCTTTCTTTCTCTTTCTTTCTTTTTTCCTTCTTTCTCTTTATTTTCCTTCCTTCTTTATTTTTTTTAATGCAAGTGACTGATTTAACTCTTGATTGCTGAGGCATTAAAAATGGTCAAAGGAGGGGCACCTGGGTGGCTCAATTGGCTGAGCATCTGACTCTTGGTTTCAGTTCAATTCATGATCTCAGGGTCCTGGGATGGAGCCCTGCATTGTTCAGAACAGAGTCTGTTCGTCCTTCTCCCTCTGTTCCTCCCTTTGCTCTCTTTCTCTCTCCCATAAATGAATAAAACCTTTTAAAAAATGGTCAAAGGACCAAAGAAGACACACAAAAGATCAACAGGTACATGAAAAGATGCTCAATATCAGTAGTCATTAGGGAAATGCAAACTAAAACTTCATACCTGTTAGAATAGCCATCATCAAAAAGATAAGAGATAACAAATGCTGGCATGGCTGGGGAGAAAAAGGAACCCTTGTGCACTGTTAGTAGGATTGCAATTTGCGGCCACTCTGAAAAACAGTATGGAAGATCCTCAGAAAAGTAAACATAGAACCACTATAAGATCCAGCAATTCCACTTCTGGGAATATATCTAAAGGAAACAAAAACACTAACTTGAAAAGGTATTTGCACTGCCATGTTCACAGAAGCATTATTTATGTTAGCCAAGACACAGAAACAATTTGAATGTCCATCAGTGGATAAATGGGTAAAGAAGTTGTGCTATGTATGTATATATACAGAATATTATTCAGTAATAAAAAAAATGAGGAAATCCTACCATTTGTAGTAACGGATGGAGCTTGAAGGCATTATGCCAAGTGAAAGAAGTCACACAGGGAAAGATAAATACTGTATGATCTCACCTATATATGGAATTAAAAAAAAAAAGCAACAAAACTCATAGGAAAAAGGATCAGATATGTGGTTACCAGAGGTGGGTGGGGATAAGGAATTAGAGGAAGGGGATCAAAAGGTATAAAACTTCCAATTATAAGATAAATAAGTACTTGGATGTAATCACCACATGGTGACTGCAGCTAACACTGCTAAATGATATACAGGAAAGATGCTAAGAGAGTAGATCCTAAGAGTTCTCATCACAAGGAGAAAAAAAAATTATTTTTTCTTTGCTTCTTTTCTTTTTGTAGTAGTTATATGATATGATGAATGTTGTTAGTGGAAGCTATTGTGGTGATTATTTCACAATATATGTAAATCCAACCATTATGCTCTACTGCTTAAACCTATACAGTAATATAGTGATACAGGTTAATTATTTTTCAATAAATATGAAAAAAAAGAGGCAGTCATTTAAAAGATGGCTATCTTGAATAAACACATTACCAGCCACATGGCTAGATAAAGAGCCAGGCTGTGGCTCCCTCCCACCACACCACTCAAAGTTCCATTGTTTTAGAGGTCTTGGTTGATTTCTACTCTTTGAACTGCTTGTTTTTCTCTTCCTGTACTTTTGATTCCCACTCTTAGGGGTTTAAAAAATTTTTTTAGAGGTGGAGAGGTGCAGAAAGAGAATCTTAAGCAGGCTTCCTGCTGGGGCTTGATCTTACAACCCTGAGATCATGACCTGAGCCAAAATCAAGAGTCAGATGCTTAACCAACTGAACCACCCACGGTGTTCCAACTCACAACCCTGAGATCAAGAGTTGTGTGCTCCACTGTCAACCCAGTTAGTCTGGAGCCTCTCTATTCTTATGTTTTAAATTCACCAATAAAGAGTGAGCTTGTGAAACCCTAAGCACCCATCCTCTACCCCAATAGACGCAGACCGCCAGGCCTGAGCTATGACCTCCCTGTGTGGTCCCAGGTGTGTCATGTAATTTCCAACACTTTAAGTAATAAACCTCATCTCTTTCAAAGTCTCCTGATGGGGGCATCTTGCAATCATAAGAAGAACCACAAGGACTGGTCCAGCTGCAACATTGATTATTAATGGGCTGAGACTGGCACACAACACATACATTTTCTCATCTGCATCTTTTTCTGGACCAGTATTGCTATCTGACTTCCTAATACCCACACAGACATTTTAATACATGAGGAAGCAGGCTCAGAGAAATTAAGAGTTTTTCCTCTGTGGCTACTTAAGGATAGAGTTGGCACTGGGATCCTGGTTTCTGATCTAGCATTCTTCCACTTCTGTCAGAGAGATTCCTTCAGTATAGAGGGTTAGGAGCTAAAGGCATTTGCCCCGTCAGAAGAAATTGGGACCAATGAAGAGAGGAGCATAGGGCAGGGATTGGAGATGGACAGAAACTCTCCCTGCCATAGGTCCTATTGGCTGGAAAACTTCGTGACCCAGCAATTCCACTCCTAGATATATTCCCAAGAGGAATGAGTACATTGTGTCCACCAAAGACAGGTGCGAGAATGTTCATTGAAGCTTTATTCAGAATTACCAAAAACTAGAAACAACCCAAATGTCCATCAACAGAAGAATGGATAAACACTTTGGTACATTTCTATAATGGAATACAATTTGGCAATGAAAATGAATATACCACTGATACACACAACAACATGGATGAATCACAAAGATATTGTGCTGAGTGAAAGAAGCCAGTTTCCAAAGAATACATTCAGTATGGCCAAACCTAATCCAGGGTGACAGAAATCACATCAGTGGTTGCTTCTACTGGTTGGGGGAGACTGTTGGAAATGCTCTATATCGTGACTTGGGTCATGTTGACACATGGACATGTAACTTTACGATTTGCACACTTTACTGCATGCAAATTATACTTAAATTAAAAAAATTAAAGCTCAGATTTTTAGGAAAGGGTCAGTTGCAGAAGGAAAACAAAGTGTCTTAAAGAGCTAAGTATGGAGATGACATCCCAGGCTGCCTCCTGTGTGAGGTCACTAACTTTGTCTGAGTTGCCTGGGATTCAGATGTTTCCTAGGATAAGAGACTCTTAGTGGTAGAACTAGGAGTGCCCTGGGCAAACCGGGACAGCTGGTCACCCTGCTTCTGTGGAAGTAGGAAACAGAGGGAATTTTGGGTGTCTGGCAGACAGGCTGGACTCCCTTAGTCTCAGAGCCAAGGGACTGCCCCACAGACTCAGAGAGGATCCATCAAAAGGTCATGGTATCAGGCATTGCTGGTTGACTGCAGAAACATCAGGACTAGGGAGCCATCTTTGTTCTCTGGTTATTTTTCAGTGTTCCTGACCCTTTAAGAATAAGAAGGGGTCAGGGGTGGAGTTGGAAGGACAAGACCTCAGAGACTAAACAGAGGCAGTTTGACTGTCTAGGTTCCAAGCATCATGGCTTCTGAGCTAGGCTCTGAGGAGATTCTCACTTAGCCCTCAAATGCTGAGTCCAATACCAAAGCAATACATCAACTTTGTGCAAGGAAAGCAGAGATATGGGGACTGATCGGAGGCAGACACTATTATATCTCTTCACCTATACAGATGTTACAAGGCAGGGACTGTCCCCATCCTACTTTTGTTTGCCATAACCTGCTGTGACTTTAGCTAGAGGGGTCTTCTCCACCTTCTCAGAGCATAGGACAGATGGGCCAGAAGGGAGGGGCTCTTCTAGCTTCCCAGCTGAGGCCTGAGAAAGATTCTGACAAAGAAACTGCTAGTAGGGCTGGTCCACAGAGGGAAAACAGGAATCAGGAAGTTCTCAGAAGTTCTCATAGTGGTGCACGAAGTGGGCCTGGTCCAGCCTGTTGATGAGCTGACAGGCCTTCTCTACATTCTTGGTCATTCCTGGAGGGCCACAGCTGAACACCCCAATCTTCAGTACCTATCAAATGTGTTGAAAGGAATGGTTGCAGAGAGGAGAGGCCTGAAGGCTTAAGATGCTAACCCCCAGAAGGAAGCTGCTTCTTGAGCCTGCTGGAATGACCAAGGCATTGACCCTTAGTCCTAAAGAGGAGCCTTGAGTTGGGGGCTGCAGGGGGTCAGGTCTGAAGCCTTCCTCCAACACCTGACCCTATCCTGGGGCTGACATGGGGTGGTTCTCCATTCAGATTACAGCTGCAGGCTGCTTGAAGGCCAGGATATCCCAGCAGGGGAAAGCCAGGGTCCCAGGGCAGGTGGAGAGGGGCTGACCTGTGGGTGGACCTCCTGCAGGGACTTGAAGAATGGCTCAAAGGGAGGTCGGCCAAAGTGCGTGATGGAGCGCAGGCCCGTGAACAGACTCCGGTTCAGCACCTTCTGGAAGTGCCGCTCACAGATGTACTGGGAGATGGAGTGGAGGAGGAAGGTCACAGCCAAGCCAGGGTCAGCTCTTAGTCTAGATGGTGGCCCACCTACCTGCCCTGCCTGGCCGGCCCTGACATACCAGCATGGTGGTCCTGAGGTCAAACTTCTCAGCCAGCTGGGTGATATAGATGTGCACAGACACCAGGTCCTGGTGGTCATTCTCCTCTACCTCCCGGATGATGTCAGCCAGCCACTCAAACTGCCGCTGGGTTCGTGTCACCCAGATGAAGTAGATCTGGGGATACATGGCTGGAGCTCAGGACTCAACTCAGCTTAAGTTTCCTCCACTCCAGATGCCTTCACCTGAGAGGCTGAAAAACCTCAGACCACCCACAGACACCAAAACTCTGGCAACCCCACAAGCTTATAACCAACAGACTCCAGCAGAGGCCCTTCTGTCCATAACTCCTTCCCTCCCTCAAATGTCAGGCATGTGGATAACCATGTATGAATGACTCAGAAGCCTCAGTGCCTAGGAGCTGAGGGCTTTTCCTCATATTACTCTGCTATGATGTGGGGACACAATCAGGCAGTCTGTCTCCATTCCTTCAAAGAATGGGAGAGAGACACTCACCTTTTTACAGAGCATTTGGCTGCCCAAGGATGACTTGAAGACCAGGTCTTTGAGGATAGAGGCAAAGGGGGTGACCCCAATGCCCCCTCCCACCAGTACTGACACCTCAAACTTATGCCATTCCTGATGGCCCTCCCCAAACGGTCCATCAAGGTACAGCTGCCAACCAAAGAGAGAGAGGAGATGAGCCTGGCCTGGCCTCAGCTCTGAGGTTAGAAATGGGGATGGGGCAGGGAAAAGAAGGACATAGGAACATTCTAGCATTTTTTGAGGTACCAGCCTGCTGTTGTGCTGGCTGGAGCATCTAGTCTCAGGGTAGAGGAGGGTGGGAAGCCTTTGCCAATGCTGGATCCCCCAAAGTGATTCCCAGTGGTGGGCACCTTTGGGTATCTGGCACAGCCGTCACCCTTTGGAAGTGAGTAGGTCTCCCTGAGGCGAGTGGTCCAGGGTCCCACTGCCCGGATGTGCAGGCTGAGCGTGTCCTCATGGGGTGCAGAAGTCAGTGTGAAGGGGTGGTACTCATTGGTTCCCAGAGCCAGGCAGGCGATCCGCACCCACTGTCCTGACTTATACTCAAAGCCTTGGGGTCGCTGGAACTGCAGGTGGGTCACTCCTGGGGGTCATGAACAGGCAAGGGAAGGGATCAGAACGCTTGCTCCTAGTGCCTGAGGACTGGCAGATGTCCTGTCTTCTCCACACAACCAAGGTACGGGGAGTGGACATATGGTCTGAGCAAGTGGGGTTCCTGGAGGTGGGAGTTGGAGGATCCCTTTCTCTCTTTCCTGGGTAACCCAAGAGCTGGGTTTCTCTGCTCCTCTTTCCAGCTCCTCTCTTCTCCTCCACTCCCTATTCCCATGAAAGTCCTGGGCCCTAGACCACCTTCCTATCAGTCTACAGGTAGGGGACCTTGAGTTCCCCAAGGACCAATTCAGTGTTTACCAAACCTCCACCATCTGAGAATCAATTACTTTTGTGATGGGCCATTTCTACACACCTCTGCACTATTGTTTAATATTTTTCCTTAAATTGACTTACTTTTTTCAATTTGATTTACCTTGACAAACTTCAGATTGCTAAAATGGGTAGAAAACCAGTATCATGTGATCATGTATTCTAAATAGAAGGCAGTATATTTTATCAAATTTTTGCTGGGTACTGTTTGGTACCTGACCATAGCTGAGCTTCAGGCCCATTCTCTTTGTTTAAAAAGTTGATTTGAAGAAAAAATAAGTTGATTTGCAAGTACTGGAGAGTACAAAAGGCATACAAAGCTCCATGCTGAGGCTTTGTCCTGGAGTAATCTTAATTGACATAAAGTTGAAATGAGGTTAATTTTCTTACTATGTTAGTCCTGAAGATTATATGGTCCTACAACACCTAAAATCATCTTCTGCCAGCCTCTACAGTGATGTGAATTGCCACTTTGGCCAACACAGACTCTCAAAATGTGGGCTTATTGCCCATTTCTGAAGGGGGGATAGTTATTCTAGAAGAAGGGATGGGAGGGGTATTTATGATTCCCCAAGCCCTACCCAGGCCACACAGGAGGTAGTAGTCTGTGTTGTCCTTAAACCTCTTTGTATGCACTCTCAGATGCCTCTTCTCACAGTCTCTTCTCATTGTTTGCAAGGCCTCCTGGGCAAGCATAGCCCTTTCTGGGGCTCTGTTTGCATCAGGAAAGCCTCTTCCCCAAGAGGCTATCAGAAGCCCCCAATTGTGGTCTGGAGGCCTGGAGAGCTGTCTCCACACACCTCGTGAGTTGACTTCCAATGCTGTCCACCTGGGGTCAGGCTGGGCCTGGTACCTGAGGGCAGCAGCTCTGCCTTCACCACGCTGATCTCCACCTTCTTCCGGCTCAGGCTCACCAGCTTGTCCCCCACATAGATTAGTGCCGGGACCAGGAAGTAGACGTAGAAACGTGGCAGCTGGATCAGGCCAAAGCTGCCATGGATGATGAGCTGGAGACATGGCCAGTTAGTACAGCTCAGGCAGCCAGGCCCCCTCCCTGCACTCCCCTTGCCCAGACGCCTCCTGACCGGCCCTCGCCTGGGCTGAGTAGACAAAGCCAGTATAGACTTCAGAGGCTGGGGGCTCCGATCTCAGCCTAAGGTCTTACCCTGAGATCTGAGGTCCAATTCAGCCCGCTCCTTACCCTCATCGTGAGCACTCATCCCTGCCCCATGGCCTGTCCCTGCCCAGAGGAAGCCCTTACCAGCACGTAGAGCACGATGTAAAGGTGGTGGGTCAGCCAGAAGCCCCGGAAGCTGCGGCGCCGGAAGTGGTGGGAGGCGAAGACATACATGATGGCCAGAACCAGGAGCAAGAGCACCCCTGTCATGCCTGAGAGCAGTGGGGACTGGCTCAGAGAATACTCTCAGGACCTCAGCATGAGGTGAGAATACAATAGAGCATTGCCCCCATTCTGCCCTCCTTCTCTGACCTCCCTGGCCCAGCTTGTCTGCAGGGGCTGCAGCCAGGGCTTGAAACAGAGACTAGAAAGAAACCACGACCACTACAAACAAGCAGGTATTCATGTTAAGTGGAGATCCTGAGATAGAACCCCCACACCCTACAGACAGTCCCACTCCCTACCTGGGACTGTTTGGAAGAACCACCAGTAGAACTTTTGGGGAAGCTGGGACCTGTAGGGCAAAGATATATGGAACTTCTGTTTGGGGCAGGACTGGTTCCCCCACTGTCACCATATGACTCTGCTCCTGCTGGCCCTGACTGCTAAGGTTACTGGGCCTCCACTCAGATGGCCAGGGATCCATCTGAGGGACATGGCCTCCATAGAGCCTCCCACAGCTCTACCCTCTGTTGTCTTGGCAATTTTTCCCCCTGTGTTATCTTGAACTCTCCTACCACAGCTGACATTTGCTTCCTTGACTGCTTCATATTCTGTAAGCTCTGTGGGGGCAAGGGTGTGGCTCTGCTCATTGCTCTAATCCCTTTGCTCAAACAACGCCAGGCTGAAGTAAATACTCAATAAGTATTTGCTGAATGACTGCGTGAATTTATCCTGCCTATTCCCTGGCACCTGGATGGTCACATAAGATGTGCTCCATAAATGTCTGCCCAGTGAATGAATGATAGGCTAAGATACCAAGTTCTGTGCCAGGTACGTGTGGGGAAAGGTCTCCAATTCAACTCTCAAATGTCTTTCTGGCCTAATCATGGCCAGCTTGCTTCCAGAGCAAGGAAGTCACCTTTCAGCTTCCCCCACCAGGCTTCTCACTCTCATTCAATGAGAGAGTGGAGTTAAGTGCCATCTATTCCTTTTCCATTATACCCTTCGGCTTGCTCCTAGTGTTCCAAGGGGGAACCCTCCCCAGAACTGACCCATCATTCATGAAGATGTTGGGGAAGATGCAGGCCAGCAGGCTGAGGGGACTGACTGAGAAGATGAAGACATTGACTGCATGGCCAGCACTGTGCAAAACTGAGAGAGATCATGTCAGAGATGTCACTCGGGGCCGACTCTTCCTCTTACCCGAGGGACTGTTTCCCTCCCAGCTAGACCCAGGGGGTTGCAACAAGGGAAGGGGGGATGCCCAGGAGCCACGGACTGGCCAGGACAACAGCAGCCATGGCGATCCAGCGATGGAAGTCCACGGCGGCATCGAAGGGCACATAGAGGTTGAGGAAGGTCTCTCGCAGGAAGGTGATGAGGTTGCGGCACATGGTGAGCAGGATGTAGGAGAACATGAAGGAGATGCTGGCGGCTGTGCCCCGGGACAGGATGATGCCCACAAAGGTAGTCTCTGCGATGCCCGAGGATGGCGAGGCAAAGGCATAATCTGGGCAGGGGTGGGGGGGGGATCAGCAGGGCACAGAGGCTGGGGTCAGACACCTGGGCTCTCCACATCTCCCTCCCCACTGCCCATAACCTGGAGCTCTCACAGTAGGCACGCTCTGCAAACAGGCCGGCACAGATGGCTGAGAAGATCACAACGCATATGATGTGCCGCCGGTAGTTCTCCACGAAGCGCTTGTACTGCCGCAGCTTCTGAGCCAGGAGGCCCCGCTGCATCTTCTCCTTCAGTGCCTCCGTGTACAGCCGGGGTGTGGGCCCCACCACCCTGCAGCCATGGGAGGCGGCTAGCCCTAAGACCAGGGCACCCCAGCCTCCCCTAAATGCCATCCCACAAAGGAGACCTAGTGACCTGGCAGGGCTCAGGATGGGCCAGAACAGATGAAGGAAGCAGCTTATGGGAAGTTAACTCCTACCCTCCTCCAACTTTTACCTAATATTTATTTGCTCCATCTACTCACTCTTCTGTCTTCCCACTGCTTCACCTTATCTTCCTCCTGCTCATTCTGTCCTTCCCTCCTGCTGTTCCCACCCCCCACCGCCCCTGGCCTTGCTGCTGTGCTTTACTGCCATCTCTGTATTGTATCTGAGGGCCAGGTCTCTTGTCTGAGGACTAGGGTGCAAAGGCCGGAAGATGTTGAAGGATCATTAGACTCTGTGGCCCACGAGTCATGTCAGGGACACGTGGAAGGAGATACATGATGGTTCCTTGTGTATCCAGGAAGGGTGGACAGGGCCCAGAGACTTTGAGACTTTTCCCCATGCTTCCTTGGACCCAGGGGTCTGGAAAATACTCACTTTTTGCCAAACCTCTTCTTCAGCCCAGGGCCTCCCAGCTCTGGGGCTTCTGAGGCAGAGAACTCCAAGTCCTGGGAACAGGAGCTGAGAAACGGAAAATGGGGCTTGTTCTCCCCTTGTCTCTGTGGCCAGGAGAAGAACCACCAGACCAGAATTTCAGGAGATGGGGATGGATCCTGGGACCCATCCCTGCCCACAGAAGTCGCCTGTAAAACTGGGCAGAGAGAAGCCAGGCAGGAGATACAAGGCAGAATGAATAAAAGATTCTGTTGCTGAGAAGGATTCTGTCCTGGAGGGGCAGGGAGAGAGCCAGGCTCCTGAGCCACATGGGGACATGGGGTGGGAGAAGCACTGGAATTTGGACCAGGATCATTCATGTACTAGGAACTTCTTTCAGAGGGCAAATAGCTGATTCCAGGGACTGACTCAGCCAGCACTACTTCCTTCATTTCTCTTCAGGGAACCTGGCTGAGGGGACCTGCCAATGCTCCATTCCTGCTCACCGTTTCCCAGGAGTTCGAGTGATGAATGAGACTCGGCAGCTGATGTTTGTTTTAAAGATGTCTCCAACACCTGAAGAGAAGAACGAGAGTCTTCTCCAGGAAGGATACCACAGCACTTGCCAGAGACTTGATCATGTTCTCATCTCTCGTTCCAGTCTTATTCCCCTCACTACCCACCCTGAGTACCCATTGGACACAAGGCAGCCACTGCTAGACAAGGTGGTGACTTGGTACCATTAGAGAAGGAGACCACCGCATCCTTTGTATAAAGAAAATAATGCCTCTTCATCTGACTAGATACACCCCAGGCCCATGTGCATGAGCTTAGTGAGTGGCATGTAGGCTAGATTTCAGCCCACCCCCTGATGTCTCAGTAGGCATCTTTGTGCAGTGAACAGATTGCACAGCTGAATGTGACACCCTTGATTACATGTATCTGGCTCTATACTAGGCACAAAAGACTTGGGGAGAAATAAAACCTGGGTGATCCTATCCACCAGTAATTCTCATTTTGAAGGAACATCCCTCCCTGACTCCTACCATTTCTTACATACTCACACACCTCCACCTCACCTCTGACGCAGAGCTGCGTACGGCGGAGCTCACTGTCATGATCCCGCAGCATGAAGTGGAAGTCCTCCCACGTCAGTTCCTCCTTGTCCTGGAAGCCTGACTCCCGGAACATGGACTCTACCACCTCAGTCAGCTGGGCCTTGGACAGACAGTTGTTGGAGATCTCGATGAAGGACCTGGAGGAGGAGGAAAGACAGAGCAGCCTGTCATCCAGCAAGGTCAGGTTCAGGCAGGTGCAGGGTGGGGCGGGCCCTAGATGATCTAATGTGGTTACCAGTGACCCGGGAAATGGCACTGAGAAAGTGTTCATCCAGCCTGCAGCTAACATGAAGCTGGGTGGGGTGGCCAAGGGTTTGAAATTGAAAGTGACCTTGACCAGTTAGAGAAAGCAGCCCTCAAACAAGGGGGCATTGAAAGGTAGGATGAGGGATCCCTGGGTGGCGCAGCGGTTTGGCGCCTGCCTTTGGCCCAGGGCGCGATCCTGGAGACCCGGGATCGAATCCCACGTCGGGCTCCCGGTACATGGAGCCTGCTTCTCCCTCTGCCTGTGTCTCTGCCTCTCTTTCTCTCTCTCTGTGACTATCATAAATAAATAAAAATTAAAAAAAAAAAGAAAGGTAGGATGAATGTCCACTTAGGGTAGGGACACATCCAGATGGGCCACAGGCTTCTCATGTGGCAGGCTCTCTGCCCACTCTCCTGTGTTAACGCATCCCATGCCACCGCTGGCCTCCCCCTTTCACAGTCCAGTGGGGGCATAGACAGCCCGTGTGGGGGGGGGAGGGGAGGAGATATAGCTACATTGGCTGTGCTTCCTTGTGGCAGCACTTCAGGGTACAGAGAGGAGTGTCTACACACCCCATCTGATATAGCACCCAGAGTGACAGAGGCAGTGGCCACACTCTTTTCTCAGGCTGTGCTTTGGGACAAAAACAAAACAAGCATGCACATTTATGTGAGTCCAATAGAAAGATACCTTTGTGAGCATGGCAAAGCAAGCACATTAGAAAAACACATCATCCAAATGAGACTGAGCAGGATTCACAACTGAGTACAGGCGAAGAAGGTGGATGCTCTGTCCTGGGAGACAGGGACCTTCTCCTAGATTCCCTAAAGCCTCACCCAGGCCTGGGCCTGCAATGGCACACCCAGGGAGGGATGGACAGCAATCAGCTTCACCCTAGCCTTTAAAGATTGATTGGATTGATTTGAGAGAGAGCTAGTAGGGGGAAGGGCAGAGGGAGAAGGAGAGACAGAATCTTCCAGCAGACTCCCTGCTGTGCAGGGAGCCTGACTCAGGGCTCAGTCCCATGACCCTGAGATCAGTACCTGAGCCGAAATCAAGAGTCCGATGCTTAACTGACTGAGCCACCCAGGCAGCCTCACCCTAGCCTTTTAGACACCCATGTCCAGTTGTGGTATCTGGGCTATAAGAGGAATGCAGCAGTGAGGGGGAATGCTGAAAGCAAATGGAAAGGCTTAAGGTAGAAAAGATAAAAGACTCTGCACTGTTTTATGCATTCTATTTATTCATTTACTCATCTACTCCACCCAATTAAGATTATATTGAATACCTGCTATGTGCTCATCACAGTGCAGAAGAGGTGGAGTCAGTGGGAAACAAAAGAGAAATAAGAACTCTGTCCTTATGGAGCTGAAGGGGACTGTGTTACTGAAACAGTGTCTTAAAGAATAAGAAGTCTATGCATTCAAAACTGGTCTTTAGCAGCACACCACAACCAGAAATAGCTTAAGAAGCAGGAAGAAAGGAGGGCTAGATTATAGAAGAACTTCCCATGTTTCTCCTCCTGCATGTCATGGTGATTAATATCGGAAGAGTGACCAAGATCATCCATCCTCCATCCATTATTTCACAACGTAAAGCACAGTGTTATGGTATGCAAGAGTTTACAAAGATCCAAAGGCATCCAAAAGGGGCTAGTAGACATTTGTTATTGGTCATGTGGGTTCGGTTGTCATTGTTTGTTTGTTTGTTTGTTTGTTTGTTTGTTTTTAGCTGGGGAAGGAGAACTTTCTGGCTGGTATAGACAGTGCAGATAATAGACCCTCCTGGAGGCAGAGGCCTGGCCAGATACACTTATGAGGCTGGATGCTCTGAGAGCCTAGGACGCAGTAGCTAAGCCACCTCTCAAAACAGATGGTCACATAGCCTCCTCACCCACCCTCCTCTGAATTGACGTGTTTTCCTGTTTCAAATAGCAGGGAGTCTCAGAACTGGAAGGGCCCACACTGTACCGCATCATGGTGAAAAACTCATCCTTGGAGAGGAAGCCGTTTGCATCAAGGTCATACATGGTGAACATCAGGCGAGACTTGTCCTCTGGGGAGCCTGGAAAGAGAAAGGGGGATGCAGATCACTTCTGTGCTGAAAGATTGCTGGTTCCTGGAATGGCCCACCCTCCCTCTACCTTTCATAAAGACCACCAGGATGTCCAGAAACTCCCGGAAGGACAGGTAGCCATTGCCATCTTTGTCAGCCAGAGAGAACATGGACTCCACAAACATGTCCTGGGGCTTAAGGCCCAGGGACTCGGCAAACTCAGCTCTGCTCAGCTCGCAAGTCAGGGCCTCCCGCACCTTCTGTGATGAGTTCAGGGGCAGGGTCCCTGCATCTGCCTGGTCGATGTCCAGCACCTGTATTTGGGCAGCAGAGGGAGAGAGATAAGGAGATGAGGCCTGGGCTGGATGCAGTTCAGTGACCCTTTATATCTCCCCAAAGCCCAACTCAGAAAGGGTGAGCCCTAGTGACTACTCCTGGCCCTTAGTTATACTTCTGTCTTGGACTTCTGCTCTCCTGTTGAGGGGGTGACTCATATCTCTAGCAACTAGCCCATCTTCTCCTTGGACCCAAGATCTGGGAGCTTTACACAGTAGGGATGGGATGATGTTAGGTCTGTAGCGGGGCAAGGGGGGAATGAGAAAGGGCAAAGTTTGGGATGTAAAATGCAAAATGAAAGAGCCTATACTGGGGACAGAAGAGGAATAGACAAGGGTGGACAGGCAGGAAGAGGCTAGAGATATGTTCTCTTATCTTGCCTGATTTGGTCTCTACCCATCATACAAAAATTTTAAAAGTCATATATGTGTAACTACCATTTGTTAAATGCCTACAATGTACCAAGCACTTGGATAAAACACTATACACAGAACAGTGTTTTTCAAAATGTAAAGCCCCCTGGAGGGCTTCTGGGCCCCAACCACAGAGTTTCTGATTTACTAGATTTGATGGGGAGGTTTTAGATTTCTAACAAATTCCCAAGTAAGGTGGCTGCTGCTGGCCCAGGGGCCACACTTTGAGAACCACTAATGTAGACTATCTTACTGAAGTGTCACAACAACCCAAGGTGATGGATCCTATCTTAATCATTGTTTTATAGATGAGGAAATGGAGATACAGAGCAGAGACGATGGGACTAGCCCAAGGTCAGGCAGGGAATGAGTGGCAAAGCTACAATCCAGTCAAAAGTGTCTGTCTCCAGCCCAGAGAGCAGAAGCTTAGTTTACCCCATGTAGGGTCCTGTCCAGCCCAGCTTCCCTCCAACCCCTGGGCCAGGTCCTGTCTCCAAAAGATACAGCTATGGCACCTGGGCAAACAGGTATCTGAAGAAGATCTCCAGGATTCGGCCCCGCTGCTGCTTGGTCACAGCTCTTCTGAACAGCTCATTCTCTCTCATCTCAGCCACGTCAAGGCCCAGAGCCCATTGCACACAGAAGTCCTGCAGATGCTGCACAAAGGTGCCCCGCTCTTCCTCAGAGTTAAACAGCAGCACCTGGGTAGAAGGAAGCCCGTGTCAGTGCTCAGAGCTCCAGCTCTGGTCCAGTCTCCCCTCAAAAGGACCTTGAGTTTAGGGAAGGGGAGAAAAGCTGCCCCCCGCCAATCCATCCAAGCTGGAACCCAGTGAGTAGACCAAGGGGGTCAGAGGGAGGGTCATGTTGAGTGTGGGCTTTCCCCAGCATTGCCTTCACAAGGGAGCTCTGTAGCTGGGGAGAGGGCAAGCTGACAGGACTTGCTCTGAGAGGGGAGATACATAAATTAGCTTTCCAGGTAGGGGAGGCAGGAGGGGCCATACCAGGTCATACTCCTTGGGGATCTTGAGCAGCAGGGTATGGCGTCCACGGTTGCTGGACAGTATGAGGTTGACCTGCTGGGGGTGCTGCAGCTGGACAGTGCGGAGCACAGACAGCTGTCTGTCCAGGACCTGCAGTCGCCTGTCTGGGAGCAGCTGGATGGTGATGGGATAGCTTTTCTCCCTGGGGCCTGGCCACTCCATCGCTGGGTAAGGGACAATTGGGCAGAGCGTTCAACAGAGGTACCCAGGCCCCTAACCTCAAGCCAATTCCACTCTACCAGTCTGAGCAGGCACCCCAAAGCCTGGCTTTAACCTCATATCTGTAACCTGGTTTTTCTCCCAGGGCCCCCAATCTGGCCCCCACTCCCGTCTCTCCCCTCAGCCTCATCTCACCTGGCACACCATCTTTGGCTGCTTCTTTCTTCACACTCTCTTTGCCTTTCTTCTGTAGCCTTTTGCGCTCTCGGCCTCGGAAATGGGCCACCACCCCAGAGATAAGCAGGCTCACTGAAAAGGATCAGAAGGAACCAGTGGGGAAAGGGCCCTTTGCCCACAGCTTCACTGAAGGTTCTGCTCTTGCCCCTCCCTTCACAAGGTCCCTTGCACCTGGCTTCAACTGCAGCGAGAAGCTAGTCCCACAGACCAGCACATTATGAGGGGCAGGGACAATCAGAGGGCAGGGCAACAGCCAGGAGAAAAGAGGTGGGTGAGGGTGTGAAGGGCTCACCTAATGGAAGACAGCAGAGGGCCACAATGGTGATGCCAAAACCAGGACCGCTGCCCTCAAAGTAGTCAAACACCGTTAGGGGTACACATTGGGGCAAGCCTTGAGTCGTGAGCTGCCGAGGCTGAGGGCAGGGGGCACCTAAGGGAAAGGATACAGAAGATCTCAAAGTCTGAGCATCTCACTCATTGGTCAGGTATTCTTCTCTCTCCTGTAAAGAACCAGGTACCCTTCTCCTTCCCAGGCCCACCTCTCTGGAGCTTGTTCCCCTCAAAAAGTCTCCTTCCATATCCTGTTCTCAGCATCCATCCCAGCCTGACCACGGACTGCAGCCTACAAACCAGTCTAGTCCCTACGAGGGGAGGCAGCCTAATGCAGGCCTCCCAGTGCAGTCACCCTAATGCAGGCTTCCCTAATACAGAGGGACTTCCTGGCATCTGGCTCCCTGGACAGGACCAAAGTGATTCCCCCTCCATGCTTAGTCCTTTCTCTGGTTGCCATTCACTATGTTCTCCCAGGCCACCCACCGTCATGCCAGATAAAAACATTGGGTTGTAGAGCACTGTGGTTCACGTTAGTAACAGCCACCAGCACGTCCCAAAAAGTGGTGTTTTTTATTTCCGCAATTTCCTCTTTGGAGAATAGCCTGTTGGAGAAAGCCAGGAATTGTTGGCATGGGAAGGGGCTGCCAGCCTCCAGCAATCTCGGATCCAGTGACCCAGATGAGGAAAAAGACCCAGAAAGTCTGGGGGGAAGGGTGAGGCCAGCTGGGAATCAAAGGCCCTTGAAGCTGTTGACATTACACACAGAGGTCCTGGGGCTCAGGCCAAGGTAGAGTCTGAGGAAGGTGCGCCGGCAGACCTTACCCATTCCTGGTGTTCTCAAACCAATAGCGGTCACCATCCCGCAGCCTCATAAACTGGTCGAGGATGATGGCACTGAAGAGGGGCCCGGGGTCCCCATGGCTCTCCAGGAGCCCCCCAGGGAGCAGCTCCAGCCTGGTCATGTCCTGGTTGTACAGGGCAGCTGTGGCCTCCAGCACCTGGGGCATCACAGTAAGTGAGGAGTATGTGTGTGCACACACACGCATGTTTGTGTTAGGAAGGGCAGCCACTGTTGCTCCATCCTTCAAACACAGGACTCCCTCAGCTTTCTAGCTTGTTGCTCAGGCCTGAGAGAGTCTCCTCTTCCTAGACAGCCCCTCTCAAGAGTGGCAAGTCTGATGGAGGGACAAACGTGTCTCCACCCATGGTGAGACTGCTGTGAGGTGCCTGAGGACCATATCCACTACCCAGACTATCTGGCCCCAACAATGAGCAGTTTCAAGGTCACCCAATTCATGAGGAGGGCACCAGCAAGAATAGGACAATGGCACCCATTATAGGCCAGCCTGCAGGAATGGTACAATGTAGTGGTGAGGAACATAGAACACACTCTAGAATCAGAGGGCTGAATTTAAATCCTGTCTCTATGACTGACTTACCAACTATGTCATTGGTAAAATAAGGGTAATGATAGTATCTACCCTATAATATTCTTTTTTTTTCTTTTTTTTTTCTTCTTTAGTCAAGTGCAGCAGTGAGAAGGGTACCCTATAATATTCCTGATATAGATTAAATGAGTTACATACGTACAGGTCTTAAAACAAGAAAGTTTTAGCTGCCATTGCCATCATTAGTATTTCTCACCTGGGCATCCACATTGGGGTTGATATGACTCCAGTTTCTGGGAATCTCCAACCCCAAAGCCATCAGGGCTTGGGTATAGCTGGGCAGCCCCATATCTCGGCCACGTTGGATACTGCTGGCCACATAGTCTGTGCGGGAGAACTTGCCAGAGCCAGGCCAGTAGTCTGAGAAGGAGGGAGGACCAGGCTATAGGCTGAATCCTCCTGACCCTTTTTTGTCCAGCAGCCTTACTTTAGGCTGTTGGCACTACCCATCCCCAGCACTCCCAATATATGGGCCCATATCAACCTTGCCTCCATGTGGGGTCAATGTTACCATGTATGATAGGAGGCAATTTTTCTGGCAAGAATCTTCCTCTGGGACTCAAGACTGTTCTAGTCACCAAGTAGTATATTCCCTGTCCTTTACCTCCTTAATGTCATGAAAGGGCTGGATGAAAACCTTTAGAGACCTAAGCACCAAGGAGTTTGTGCTGGCACCCCTCCTCCCACACTTAAGCATAGGTAAGTTAGAATAAAAACTACACTAAGCTCAAATTAAGCAAAAAAAACAAACAGAATAAAAGCTTTTTTCTTCTATTTGCAGTGTGTGTATCTGTGTTCCCACATTGTAGGTATTCTAGGGTCTGCCTGTTGATTCATCCAGAAGGATCCCCAGGCTCCCGGGCCTCTGGGCCCTTCTCCCCTCTGGCTCTTGAGCTCACCCCTCAAATCTTCAACCACTATCCTGTCCTCCAGCTCTGAAATCTGAGAGGCCATTCCCAGCAGGAGCTGATCCACCGCCTGGGCACTGTTCAGGTTGGCGTTCTGGAAATAAACAACACATTCAAGATAGGCTCTTGGGCCTCTCCCCAAAGCCTGGCTCTTGTCACCCTGAACCACTGCAGTACCTCAGGACAAAGAGCCCTTGGCCCATCCTAGACTCTTTTGAGCTGTTGTCCCCAGATAATTTTCTCCCTACTACCTGGAGCAACAACACCCGAGAAAGGGAATGGTTGCTTTTCCCAGCATGTGTGTCCAGGCTGACACTGAGCCACCTTCCCATGACCCAGACCCCAGGCTGACCTCCCGAAGCCAGTAGCTGTTGCAGACCCTGAGAGCTGGGGAGCTGCCAAAATCCTTGGTCAGGACCATCTGGAAATGACAACTGGCATTTCTGAAATGGAGAATCGAGGATGAGATGAGAAATCAGGGAAAAAGCTGAGATGAGGTTGAGTGGGATGAGAGACTCAGAGGGGTATGGCCAGGACTGAGGACTGAAACTCTTTGAACATAGCAGAGATGTGGCAATGTGTGTGGATGGAAGGTATGGGTTGTTCTTTGCCCACCTACAGTGGTAAGGGCAGGGAATGAGAGTAACCCAACTGCTGGACAAATCCTGCTCTCAGCAACCAAAGTTCAGCCATTAGGAGGGATTGTTAAGATTGAAACTCCTACCCCAGGGTCCTTTTAAGGATTCCAAATTCTGCTTCTCTTCCCCATTAAACTGTGGAGTTGTATAAAAGGTGCCAGGTCCCTGAGGAGCCTTGATTCTTCACCTCTGCCAGCATTCTACACCTCTCCCACTGAGAGCCCCTCCCTCACCTCATGTAGACGCCAGGGGGCACCATGGTGGAGAAGAACTGCTCAGAGGCCACCAGGAACTCTGGGGAGATGCTGGGGTCCAAGAAAGGATGATACCCTGCCCCATATGGTAATAAGAGAAATAGACTCTTTATCACATTGTGCCATACATGCACTTACCCTATGGATCCTATGGATCCTGGCCACCCCCGCCCCCGGCCACTGCTCCTCCCCCATAATCCCGGTATCTTCACCCAACTCCTTTACCTGTATATTTTGGGAGTGTTTTCTGCAGGAAGCTGGGCAGCCACTCATAGAGAGCAATGTTCTGAGGATCAAGAGAGGGCAAAAGGGAGGCAAGTGTTGGAGCAGTCTCGCTGGAGGGACCTGAGCCCAAGGAAGCCTTAGGTGGGAGATGAGGGCCCGGCAGGGGCAGTCAGTCATAAGGGAGGCAAGTCAAACGGGACAGGTGTGGAGGCCTGTCCCCCCACTAGGAACACGGGATGGGAGCAGGGACCACTAGCTAAGAACCACAGCCAAGTCTCATGTAGCATAGCCCTTTGCGGGCCCCTCCTCCTTGGGGTCCATTCCCAGATGCTAGCTCCAGTTCTGGGGAGCAGTGTCCTCCTGGAAAGGGGCGTTTCTGGGGGCTGCTCATGCGAGGAATGAGGGCCCCGCGGGGCACGGTGGGGGTGGGGTGGGGGGGCAGGAGGGGGACAAGGGGAGGGCGTGTGACGGACCTGGTAGGTGGCAATGACCCTCTTGCGCGCGTGCTGGAACAGCTCCTCGTCCCCCCAGTGCGGGTGCTGGCGGGCCAGCCGCTGCGCGCACAGGTTGTGGTAGCGGAACCACAGCAGGCCCAGCGCCTGCAGGAAGGGGTCGCGGTTCCCTCGCTCCGCCCCGAAGGCTGCACGCCACGCAGGGCCGCAGGGGAGGAGGAGATGGGCGGCGGTGTGACCACGGGGAGTGCCGCCCGGCCGCCCCCAGCCCGCGCCCGCGCCCCGCGCCCCGCGCCCGCGCCCGCGCCCGCGCCCCGCGGCCTCACCGTACAGGCCCCCGGGCCCGCGCTGGCCGCTGGCGGGGTCGGGCGCGCTCCACATGAGCAGGGGCGGTTGCGCGTTCCGGGGGAAGGCGGGGTCGGGCCCCGACGCCAGCTGCCCCCCGGAGAAGCTCCGCAGTGCGTCGCTCCAGGAGTGCGAGGAGCCATAGATGGCGCTGCCGTCCAGCCAGCCCGTCACGTCGTTGGTCTGCGGGGGCACCGGGAGGCTGAGCCGGGCTGGCGGAGGCGGGTGTCCGCGGAGGCGGGTGTCCGCTGTGGGAGCCTCTCCTGCCTCCTGCCCCGCCGCGCACCCGGACCGGACCCGGGAGCCCGCCTGCCTCGTCTCACCAGGTCCCGGGGGTTACTGGGGCTCTGTCCGCTCTCGGGGTCCCAGCGGCTCCTCTGGAAGGGGAGGACCACGTCCCCGCGCCCGCTGGGGTCGAACACCGGGTCCCCGGGCGGGATGCGGATGTTGAGGAACTCGGCTGGGCAGCCGGGTGTCTCCACGCTCACCAGGTCCGAGAGCACGTGGTAGCCTGTTGGCAAGGGGGCCAAACTGATGGGAATGGCCATTCCCCTTGGGCAGCGAGTTTCTCTAGGTTTCTTAAGAGTCAAAAGACATGTTGGAGTGCAAGCTCTGCCACCAGCTCCGGGTCTTTTTTTTTTTTTTTCTAATGTTCAGAGTGGGGATATAGTTTCCCCTCCACCCACCTCATAACATTGTTGCAGCAATCAAAATAATACGAGTGTAAGGGCTCCCCAAACTAATTCCCATCCCCCAACAGATTTTGCCTCCCCCTTTCTCTTCGCAGGAAAGAGGATATAATCATACTGGCAGGAGAGCGGTGGCGGAGGACTCAGCTCCTAGGAGGTATAATGGCGGTCCAGGGACACTCCCAGGTTTGGAGCAAGGGGTAAGAGAAAGATCAGAAAAGCAAATATCCCTGAGTCGAGACACTCCCAAATCCCTCTGAGATAGAAAGGTTGGGGGTGCTGCTCAGTGCGGAGGAGGAGGTGGTGCCTGGGAGGCTTGGGTCCGTCCCCTGCGCTCTTGCAGAGGGCCACCGGGCCCCTCTCCCCAGGCGCTGAGCTAAGCGACTGATCGCCCCCGTGTTCTCCCACTTTGCTCTCACCAAAGAAGACCCCCAGCACGGTGCGGTTGCGCAGGGATGCCTGCCCGGCCGGGCCCCGCGTGGCGGCGTCGCTGAGGAGGCGCGGGTTGGGCAGCAGGGGCTCCCCCAGAGCCTGGTAAACGCCGTCCGCGTAATTGGCCGGCACACGGCGCTGCAGTCGGAAGCCTGTGCGAAGCGGGGAGCGGAGCTCTGACAGCGCACTCCGTCCCCAACAAGCCCTCAAACCTCTCCCTACACCTACGTCCGATCCGCATCCTCCCTGACGAGACCCTCCTTCCCGGGGTCTCCTGGTCCCTGGAGTGCGTGAGAGTTCCGGGCGCAGACAGCGAGGGGGCGGGGTGCGGCTGGCGGCGCGCTCCCCGCATCTCCGCGCGGGGTCTCCCGCCGCCCCGCCCTCCACTAGCCGTCCCCCTAACCCCCTCCACCCTCACCCCCACCCCGGACCATGCGACTCACCCGCTGCGCCCAGCTCGTGATGCCTCAGGTTGTTGAACCAGCCGTCGTAGCGCTGCACTTCCCAGGACAGTGCGGGTGAGCCCTGGCCGCCTGGGGGTCAGAGAGTGGTCCGCTCAGCGCTAGCCTCCCTGCGACCACGACCACCCCGGGACGCGGCGGCCTCGCCCGTGCTTCTCCCGCTCACTGAGCGCCCCCAACCTTACCCAAGAGGCAACACCTGAGCGGCTTTGAAGCTGCCCTGGGATATTTCCCATCCCGCTCCGTGTGATTTGACGGATCTTGTAGCTTGCCTGCATCTGTTCCTCCCGGTCCTCAGGAGGTACGGGGTGACATCCCGAAGCGAGGGGCGCCGGATACTTACCCGCGGGATCCAGGGATGCAGTCAGCAGAGCTCCCAGGAGCACCACTGCCTCTGGCCTTGCACAGAGCATGCTGAACCCGCTGCCTGGGAGGTGGGAGGTGAAAAGTGAGGGACGAGGAGCTAGTGTCCCCATGCCTGCAGCCCACACTGGGGAGGAGGCGCCTCATGTTTCCACTTCTGGAGCAAAGCTTTTAGAAGCATCACCAAAGATCCACACCTGCATGCCACTCTTTTCAGGATACCTGGTAAGCACTGACACTGGGTCCCCACTTTCTACCTGGTGGAAGAACTAACAGTGGCCAAAGGAACCCCCCTGGCCACTAGTCCTCTGAGGTTTGTCAGTCCCAGGCAGAACTTTACATCCAGCCTGGCAGCCACCTGCCCGCATCTCCACCCCCACCGGACAACCTCCAGTCTCCATCCCCAAGCCCTCTGTAACTGCTTCTCCTAGAGGAGGCATGGAAGGGAAAGCCCTTAGTGAGCTGGGAACCCATGATCTGCAGCCCCTCCTACTCTGCAGTGAATGCCTGTGCATGGACAAGAGGGATGGAAAGATCAAGCCCCAAACTCCTGTCCAACCTCTGGTTTAGGAACCCCATCTGGGGTCAGAAGTTTTTCTTTCCTCTCAGAATCTTTGCTTCTCTGCTCTCCTCCCAACCTCCATCTTCCCAACACAGTACCACCACCCCTGCCCCTCCCAACACTGAAGATCCTTTGCCTCCCCAGCAGCAATCTTACCCTCTTCTCTGGATCCTCTAAGGCTAGCTGCCCTGGTGTCCACTTGAGTCAGATCAGTGCCAAGAGTCTGCATCTGGACAGGAAGCTCACCCTCTTGCAGTGATGGTAGGGCTCCCCTCATTTGCATAGCAGCCTCCACCCCTTATTTGCAGGATTTCTTCCCAACCCCACCCAGCTGCCAAGCCCAGACAATGGCCCAGCCAGCTGCCCTGGCTACTATAAAAGGGCTCCAGGTCCTGCACCGCTTACAAACACTGAGTGGACCACAGAGCTGCGAAAGTAACTGGCTATTGCCAGTGAGAAATAATTCCTCTCTCCTGCCTACCCGACCCCTCCTGGGGCCAACCCAGAGCACTTGAAGGCAGCCAGCCACTCTGCTTCCTTAGGGGTGAGTTGAGGAGCTCAGACTTGACCAGCCCATTGAGTCCTGTCCAAGAACACAGGAGACTGGGTAAAGAGAACTGGGATCCGGGCTCGGTTGCCAGGTTCTCACTTTTCCCTCTCCACCAGACCCAGCCTGGCCTGGTTGCAGCATGACTCTGTGGAATGGCGAGCTGTCTTTCTACCCCCAACCCCGGCATGCCCCTGGCTTCAGCGTCCCATTGCTCATCGTCATTCTGGTGTTCTTGGCCTTGGCTGCCAGCTTCCTGCTCATCTTGCCTGGGATCCGTGGTCACTCGGTAAGGAGATGCTAGATGCTAGGGCCTGAGGGTCATGGGCAGCTTGTCGCTGGAAGACATAGGACAGGTAATACTGTAATAAGGGCCTCCATGAATAGTCAGATGAAATGCTGAACCAGAGGAACATAGGTGGAGCAGACCCAGAAATCTGGTGCAGCAGGCACTGCGCCGCCCCCCCCATGCACCGCTGCCCAAAGACTGAGAGAGGTTGAGGCCCTGTACAAGACATTCTAGAGACTGATCCCACCTGGATCATTCAGGAGGCTGCTACAGAGAGTGGGTGCCCAGTCCAGGAATCCTGGGGTTACTTCTAGTCTTCACATGCTGCTGGAGTCTCCCTCCTCTCCTCAGACTGTGGCTGCACTCCAGTTTCAGCCTCCAAGTACTGACCAGTGGACCAAAAGGATAGAAACCAGTGGCTGAGACTGCTGTGTTTCACTGGTGTGCTGGGTTAAAATGCATGTGTATGGGCTCTCCCATCCTAGGAACTCAGGGACTCCCATGCAGGATTCAAAGTCGTAGCAGACTAGCAGGTAGTTTTTGTTGGACTCCCCCTTCTCCTAGAACATAAGTTGTTTTTCAAGTCTAGGAGTATCTAGCCTTCTTGAGTCTTGCTCTGTATTGGTTTCCTTGGGAAACTGGTGCAACTAGGAGTATCTGAGAGGCTGCATTCCCTCCTTCTCTACTTGGCAACAGGACCCTGAGGGGGCCCTCTCCTGGGGTAGGTGACCTCAGCCTGCCAAGCACTTCTGGACTTACTGAGCCTCGCCATAGTAGTGACTCAAGTAGCTGGCAAGACCAGGACCAGGAGCCAGATCCGGGAGGGGGGGCGGGGGGAGGCTGGTGGGAGTGAAGGTGATGGGACAACACCAGGCAGAGAGCCAGATTGCAGAGTGGACTGGGAAATGGGGTAGGGAGGCAGAAGTGCACGGCTAGAAAACTTTGGAAATGCCAGTGGCCCAGAGGGACTTGCACAGAAAGCAAGACTGTAGCTTCAAAACATCAGGAATGTGACTAGGAAAAGGGTGTGGGGCAGGAGAGGACAGTTGCAAGGGCACTAAAGATCTAGGTGGCATGGGGTCAAGGGAAGTCTTGGGGACTCTAGTTGGGCAGTTACCAGGCCTGACAGAGGTTCCTGTTCCTGCAGCGCTGGTTCTGGCTGGTGAGAGTTCTTCTCAGTCTGTTCATAGGCGCAGAAATTGTGGGTGAGTGTGCTGTGCAGTGGATCAGGAGAGGACCTGGGGTGAGGATGGAGGTGGGTGGAGGGCACCTAGGGAAATGGAGATTTGGGGTTTGTTTTCCACTCTCTCTTCCCATTCTTTGGCTCTTTCTAGTGGCCACTCTTCCACCCTTACAGTGTCTACCACCTTGGACCCCTAGAGCCCCCATCTCTCTGTACAGTGTCCTGTCTGCCCTCCCACTCTGCAATTTCCTTGTCCTCAATTCTCTCCCTAACCCCCCCCCCACAGCCGTGAACTTCAGCGCACAGTGGTCAGTGGGAGGGATTAACACCAACACATCCTACAAGGCGTTCAGTGCAGCGCGAGTCAGCGCTCACCTTGGTCTGCACATCGGCCTGGAGGGGATTAATATCACACTCACAGGTGGGGGCTTGAACTTCTGGAGTAGCAGATGGGGTGGTTGGGGGAGTGCGGCAGGGGCAGCCAGAGGAAATCTCAGACCCCACAGGCTTGAATAGTTTTTGAATGGTTTCCTTTTTTTTTTTTTTTTTTTTTTGTTAAGCTTTTATTTATTTATTCATGAGAGACACAGAGAGAGGGGCAGACACAGGCAGAGGGAGAGGCAGGCTCCATGCTCCCCTGATCCCGGGATCACACCTTGGGCCAAAGGCAGACACCCAACCGCCGAGCCACCCGGGCATTCCCTTGAATAGTTTTTAGTCCTCATGCATCCGTGTTTTCTCCAACCGCTGCCGAACCCATTTCTCCGCACACCCTCCCCCGTCCCATCCGTATTAGCTTAGCTGCGGTCCCGGATGGTGCGACCTCCCTGACCGCGGCCGCCCTCCCCTCGCAGGGACCCCAGTGCACCAGCTGAACGAGACCATCGACTACAACGAGCACTTCAAGTGGCGTCTGGGTGAGAACTACGCCGAGGAGTACTGGGAGGCCCTGGAGAAGGGGCTGCCCGATCCAGTTCTCTACCTGGCGGAGAAGTTCACCCCGAGCAGCCCCTGCGGGCTGTACCGCCAGTACCGCCTGGCCGGCCACTTTGCCTCCGCCGCGCTGTGGTGAGCCTGGAGGCCCGGCCCGCGGGAGTGAGCGCGCGGGGGCGGGGCGGGGCGGGGCGGGGCGGGGCGTGGGAGCCGAGGGCGCGCGGGCGGAGAATCGCCGCCTCTTGGGCCCGCGCAGACCGTCGTAACCCAGGGAGACCCCGGAGGGCTCCGCGGCGCCCTCGCCGTCCCAGCCCCTGTGGTTGTGGGGTCGGGACCCGGAGGGGGCGAGGCCGGGCAGCCAGTCACGGTGCGGCGCCCCCTCCGCAGGGTGGCGTTCTGCTTCTGGCTCCTCTCCAACGCGCTGCTCTCCATGCCCGTCCCGCTCCACGGAGGCCTGGCGCTCCTGACCGCCGGCGCCTTCGCGCTCTTCTCTACCTTCGCCTTCGCTTCCATCTCCAGCGTGCCGCTCTGCCCGCTCCGCCTCGGCTCCTCCACGCTCACCACTCACTACGGCGCCGCCTTCTGGGTCACCCTGGCCACGGGTGAGGACCGAGGGGGCGGATCCCGGGAGGCCAGGGGAGGGGACGGGACTCCTACCGAGGTGCGCTTTCCCCGTTTACAAAATGAGTCCACATATGTCATCTAATTTGCTCCTCTTAATAGTTCCTACAAGCAGGCACTGTTATACCCATTTTCCAGAGGAGGCCAGGGGCTTCTGAAGGGCGCTTGCCCCAGTTAGCACATGAACTCGTGTATCACGCACGTAATCCATATTAGAGGTCTTTCTGCTGCATGTGCTGGGGGAGGAAATGCAAGGTGTAGCTCCCAGGAGATGGAAGCGGGCTGGCCAGGTTCTGGCCTGCAGACCTGACTACCCTGTTTCTTTCTGTCGGGGTCACCGCAGGCATCCTGTGCCTCCTCCTCGGAGTGGCCGTGGTGAGTCTCCACTACTCTCGGCCCAGCGCTCTTCGCACCTTCTTGGACCAAAGTGTCAAGAACTACGGTAGCCAGGTGAAAGGGAGCTTGCCTCTCATCCTCAACAACCCACTACATAAGCAATTTGGAGCCCTGGACTTAACGACCAGTACTAACCTTTGAGGGAGACTCAACTTCGGACTTCTCCCGGCCTCGGGCCCCCTGCAAACCCGGTAGCAATACCTGCTGGGCTCTGGCCAGAAGAGCATGAGGACAGTCACTGCGCGGCAGGCTGGGCGCAGGGAAAAGCAGGCGGCCTCAGACATGCCGCTCTCCTGTGCCCTGAGAATGGTCTCCCAGGGCGAGCTGTAAATAATTTTTTTAAGACTTGTTTCTGTTACATTCCATGGCTTTTCCAGGCTTGGGAAATATGAGTCGTCAGCCTACTTCCCTGGGTTGGAAGCAGTCGCTCAGCCTTGCCACAGGCTCTGGGAGAGGGGCGCCCTCTAGTGAGCCCAAAGGGAACCCACAGGAGTCAGCATCTTCTAGAGCTGCTCCAGAAGGATCCTAGGTAGCAGTAAGGAGGCAGGTCACCCTCCCACTGGTCCAGTGGGATCCCCCTCTGCTGGCCAGCTGAGTGGAGTAGGAGGGAATGGCATTTTTGAGGTCATTTATTAACTCCAGTTTATTCACTAAGAGGTAGTGTCCAAGGGCCAAGGTAGATATCAGCAAGGCATAAAAATGCAAATCCTAGGATTTTTTTTTTTAAAGGTCCTTGGAAAGACCTACAATCTTATTTGGCAAATTTGAGAACGGGAGCTTAAAAATAATGTAGCACGCTGAGTTAATATTAGGCCCAGGACAAGAAGTTTTGTTTCTTCTCCTGCCCAGGGCTTTCATTGTACCAAGAGATCACACAAGTTGGGGAAGTAAAAGAAAAACAAAAGGGACCCAGGAGAAAGGAAAATAAGAGGTGTAGAGGGATGAAATGGGACTACCCACCACACACACACACACACACACACACACACACACACACGCCATGTAGATGAAGCTGAGTTTCAATAAACGGCCCTGTCAAAGAGGCAAGGCACCTAGGGAAGGCAGTGTTGCTGGGCAGAAATGGGCAGCACCTGCTCGGTATTACCATGGAGACAGGGTTTATAGGCAGCCCCAATGTCTGTTTAGCATTTTAAGGCTTTTTGTTTTGTTTTTTTAACATCAATAGGAAGAGCTTTTCTTTCCTACTCCACCTACAGATTGGGGCTGGGGGCCAGACACAACCCATCCTGCAGTCAGTTGTGGCAGGTTTGTGAGGCTCCAATGAGATCTGCAACCAGATTGGAAGTCCAGGTGTCCACCAGGGAGAAGAACCTTATAGGGCACAGTCAGGCTCTGTGGGATGCTTCTCCTTACAGCATGCCTCAGAGGAAGCCTCTGACAGAGGAATGTCCTGGGGCTCAGGACTCTCAGCTGTGGACCGGTATCGGGGGCTCAGGAGTCCCCCTTCCTCGGGATTCCACTCCAGTGCAGGATCCTCCCCCGTACTCTGGTTGAAGAAAGCCTTCAGCCTTTGGGGATGTATCCTGTGGGCCACTGCCATGGCCAGGCCAAGCAGCACACAAAGTAGTCCTGGGGATGAGACAACAGGTATCCTGCCTTGGTAACAGTAACACCCTGCCAAGAACATCTTCTCCTAAGAGCATCAGAACAACTCTAAGAGAATTGCTGGCATCCCTGTTTCAGGGCAACTTGGTCTCGGAGCAGGGACTAGCTTAGGGTCATATGGCTGGTGTGGCTCTGTTGTACTGAGTTTTTGGACTCAGCCCAATGAGCCATGAATTACATCTCAGAAGAGAAAGAGAGAAAGAGAAAGAGAGAACTCCAAAAACAGAACCCTCGGGGAAGGGCAGGGCACAGAGGAGGAGGCATGAGAAAGGGCAGGACAATTTAAGGCTATGTGAGGCAGGGAAAGAGAAGGAATGGAGGACACAGAGAAGAGTATTTGGGGGAAGTGGGCTGGGACATAAGACTGGAAGATTTGGGAAAGAGCTGGGTGAAGAGTTAGGGAATGAGGGAAATGACAGAGACAGAAGACACAAGAGAGAAGACAGGGCATAGGCATCCATGGGGGTGGGGAGTAGAACTGAGAAGAGAAAATCCAGAGATGAGTAATGTAAGAGGGATGGTGCTTTAAAGAGAGGAAGAGCATACTGGCTACCAGAGGCAGACCCTCAACCCCCACCAATATGGTGGTCCTTGACCTTCTTCCCCAGCCTTAAGACCTCCGGTGTCTATCTTCAGGCCTGGGCCTCACCTGTGGTCAGTGTGATCCAGAAGGCAGGCCCATGGTGAGTGTGCAGCGAAGCAGTGCCCAGGCGCAGGGGACAGGATGGCGTGAGTGATGTGGCGGTGGAAAAGAAGAGCAGTCCCAACATCTGGAAGATGCCTGTGGCCAGCAGCATGTGGCCACCGTAGACCAGCACAGGCATGGACAGCATCACATTGGCCAGCAGCCAGCAGAGGAATGCCACCCTAGAGAGCCAGGACCAAATGAAGGCTGGCCTAGGCACCTCTACTTGGAAGGGCCCAGGTGGAGGCTCAGGGACCCAAGAACATCCCAAAGATGTGAGATAGGGATTTCTGTCTATTGGTTTCCCAACCAAGCATTGTGAGGCTGGTGCCAGCCTGTCCCCACTAGGGATTTCCACATAAGTGGAGGAAACATGGGTAGAAACTCCATTTCTAGGTCTAGGCCAGCAGGGCCTCCATCCCACCCTCACCAGAGCATGGCTGAGGTGTAGTGTCCTGCCAGGCGGTACTGGCCATGCAGACCACACGGGCTGTTGGGGGTGAACTTCTCAGCGAGGTAGAGCACAGGGTCTGGTAGCCCCTTCTCCAGTGCCTTTGCATACTCCTCAGCATAGTTTTCACCCAGGCGCCAGGTGAACTCCTCGTTGTAATTGATGGTCTCATTCAGCTGCTGCACTGGGGTCCCTGGGGAATGGGGCAGTTGTGCTCAGCAGGAACCCAAGGACCAGAGTGGGCATTTGCCTAGGTAGGGGCTTGTCACATTGTGCAGAGGGACAGGAGCTGGTCTTAGTGTCTGGAAATTTCCCTTCCTACCGTCCCCCCATCCTGTAGATCCAAACCAGATCCCAAAGACATAGCAGAATCTTCTCCTCCCTCACAAGAGCCATCCCTCACCTGTGAGTGTAATGTTGACTCCTCCCAGACCAACCTGGAGCCCAACATCTGCGCGGATCCATTCAGAACTGAAGGCTTTGTATGATGTGTTGGTGCTGACCTGGCCCACGAACCACTCCGAACTGAAATTCACAGCTGGGGTTGGGGAGTTGGACATATGGGAACTCAGGAAGGTCTAGGCATTACTGGGTTAGAGTCAGAAGGGGTCTAGATCTGTTTTGCTCACAACTGTAGATCTGTTAACTAGCTCAGGCTCGGGCTCATGGTTAGCTTGTCAACAATATGTTTGCCCAAGACGAATAAAGGGATCAGAACCCAATATTTCCCTTGGTGACACTCTGCTTCTGCCCCTCCCTCCCTTCCCTGAAGCAGAAGCTGCCAGTGAGGAAACAAGGAGAGGAGAAGCTGACTGCTGAGGGAACTAGATGGGACAGGATCACACTCACCCAGGATCACAGCCCCGATGAATAAGCTGGTCACCACCCGCAGCAGCCAGAACAGCCTCTGAGTCACAGAGTGGGTAGGTTTAGGAAGGAACACCCTCCTTCCAAATCCACCCTTCCTCTTTCCAAACTTGGGTGTCTGTGTGCGTAGGCAGGGGGACATATTCTAAAATTGAGGTCACTTGGTCAATTGAGATCAAAGTGTCTGGCATGTAATAGGTACTCAATAATCATCTTTTGAATCAGGGAGTAGGAGTGACACTTTTTCTCAGGACTGGAGGCTCTTTCCTGAGTGTGGTTGTAGTCAGAGAGTCTGGCCCCCTCACCTTGAGGCCAAGATCTCTCTGGGGCTGGGGTCTCCAGGGCTGGGTTTGTTTCTCACCATCTTGCCTCGAATGCCAGGCAGGATGATGATGAAGGTGACCAGTGCAGTCAGAAAGATGGCAATGATGACGGCCAAGGTGGTGTCCATTGGGAAGATTGGCTTGTGACCAGTATAGAAGGGGAAAGTGTGTCCCAGAGTAGCCATTTTGGTGGGGTTGTGCAGGGGAGGCGTATGCTGTAGGACAACAGATATGTATGTCTCAGTGCTGGAAATACAGCAGAGAGTAAACCAGACTAGGTCCCTCATCTCTGGAGCTCACCAGAGTCTACCGCTACTGCCATTCCACTGCCCCTCTGTCTTTCATCTCCCTATGTTTTGACTGTAAGAGAGCGAGGGTCTTGGCAATCTGTCTCTGCTGCCTCATGCTCCTTTCCTGACCCAGAGGTCCCTTAAGTCAGTGCCACAACCACCCTCGAGGCTTCTCTGCTTCCCCTAGGACTGTCTTAAGAAATATAATTCTCTTTTATCTCTCTCAGGCCTCCAGCACAATCAGACAAATCACAGGACATAAAAAGAGCTATATTTACTATCAAGTGAAGGCAATAAGGGTGAAAGATGGTACAGATTACAAAAAGATTGGCTTTCTTAGTCCCCAAAGGAACAAAGGGCAGACAGCTCTGCTAAGTGTATAATCCAACTACATTATCAGAGGACTGATTTCCAGTCCTGGCGATGCCCACACTGGTCTGTCCCACTTTCTCAAGCACCCTGGCTCCTGCTCTGGCAACTCTAGCATAATTGAAATAATTGAGTTCACCTCATTTGACAGTCAATGAACCTAGCTCTGCTAATATCCCTATGTGTGACCTCTACTGGGGCCCTGGTTTGCCCAGGAGTCTCGTCTCCATTATTTATAGTCTGACCGGGTAGGGTCTTGTTAAGCCATATAGTGAAAGAATAAGTTTGGAGTTAAGCAGCTCTGTGTTTGAATTCTGCCTCTGCCTCTTGCGAGTTATTTGACCCCTACAGAGATTTTGTTTTATTACAAAATAGGGATGATAATGTCATTGTGAGTGTGAAACAAGATTGTGTGTGTAAAATGCTAAGAATAATATCTGAAACAGAATGACATCGATAGACAGGGGAAAGGGGGCATTTTATTACTACCACATTGGGAAAGAGGGGACATTTTATTACTCCATGTATCTCTTTATCCAGTCCTTCTCGGAGAGAACCATGGGTTAGACTCAGATCTGGGTCCAGTTCCAGTTCTTCATTAATTTTAAAACATTGGGGAGGCAAATGACAACCCCCTTGGCCCTTGGTTTCCTCATTTACAATCGGATATGGTGATCTCCAGGTCCTCTCTAGTTCTAAATTCTGTGATTCTTCTATAATACCCGGTGGCTCCCAGCCTTCTACCTCCTTCTAGGCGGGCCACCTCCTATGCTGTCTCTGGGGGTAGCATAGTGTCAGGCAAAAAGACAAAGCGACAGACAATTTTAACTTTTAATCCTGTCTTTTGGACAAGTCACATAACTCCTGAGTCCCAGTTTTCACATGAAGTGTTGCTTTTCTCTTAACTCTTTAATTCTTCCATTCCAGAGGAACAAGTACCTCTTTTCCTCCTGGGCTGTCACTCAAATCCTGCCTGCCTACCACCTTTCTCATTAATCATCCCCTTTCTCTTTACAACTTCTCAGCTTCTCTTTCTCTTCTGGCTCCTTCTTCTAAGGATATGTGTACATTTCTCCCATCTTAACAACACAAAGAGAAAGGACTCTCTCCCTTGAACTTCTTGGTCCCTCCAGCTACTGTTTTATCCCACTCTCCCCTCTTCACAGCCAGGCTTTCTGCAAGAATAGTCTATGTTGGTATTTTCACTGCTTTACCTCCTCAACTCATTGCAATCTGGCTTCTCTCCATCTCCACCTTCTCCATTAGGTTACCATATGCTAAATCCAAAGGGAAGTTTTCACTTATCATTCTTGATCTCTCTGTGGTATTTTGCATTGTATACTGTTCCCTCTTTCTTCAAACTTGTCCTCCTTGGACCTCCATGACATCATGCTTTTCTGGGTCTCCTGCTTTTGGCCATTCCTTTTGTGGCTCCTTTGCTAGTCCTTCCTCCCTCTGAAATGTTTGTTTCCCAGGATTCTGTCTTGGCTCTTTTCTTCTAGCACTCTTCATGATTCCCTAAGCAAACTCCTATGGCTGATGCTTCTCAAATCTGTCTCTAGGTAGACCTCTTCTTACCTGGGCTTCAAACACAAAAGGGCCAATTACCCCATAGACATCTTCACTTGGCTTTCCCACGGATGCCTCAGATTTAACAGGTCACTGAATTCACTATCTCTGGTCTGCTTTCATTCTGTTTTTTAAGTCTCTTTAGTGGCATCACCATCTTATCAATAAAATAAGTCAGAAAGCTGGACCATCTTACCTCCTAAACATTTCTTGAGACCATCCATGCATTTCCTTCTCTACGCCCTAGCTCAGCCTCATCTATCTTGCCTTGACTAAGCAAATATAATCATCTTACTTATTTGCTTTAGGTAAAATCTAATCTCACAATCACATACGAAGTCCTCTGTGATCTGATCTCACCTACCATTGCATCTCTGTCTTTGGCCCAGCCTAACCTCCAGTCATACTGAACTACTGGCCTCTCCCTGAATCTGACACGCTCTTTCAAGTCTTCATGCCTTTGTATATGCTATTTCCTCTGCCTGGAATGCTCTTACCCCTTAGCAAACTCCTTTTACACCTTTCAAGCCGCAGCTCATGTTACTCCCTCTGTGAAATATCCTCTGACACCATTGGGCCAGGGTGGATGTTCCCTAATATTCTGATTGCATTTTGAATATGCTTCCACGAAAACAATAATTACACTGTATTGTAATTGTGTGAACATCAGTCTCCTCATTAGCTTCTAATCTCCATCTTTGCATCCCTTGCATGTAGCATATACTAATCAGACTGTGGGTTGAAAGAACGAATATATGAATGAGTTCCTCTCCCTTTAGGTGGCATCTTCTATTTCACACACAAGAGGGAGCTATGCTCCCTCTGTCCTGGATACAGTATTAAACTCTCATTCATTGTTAATGGAGTGTCACCGGGACAGGGCTAAAGATTGGGCAGGAAGGGATCTGACCAACTCTGTCCATTTTTGTGCTTTCACAAAATTTTCAGAAAGTCTCTTCCAATAGTTGGAATCCAAAGTATGAATGTTCATGTTTAATTGAATCTGAAATGTATTTCAACACAAGCTAAAGATAAATAACTAAGAACTTGTAGATTCTTATCTTGTAAAATGTGTGATGATATTGATTTTATTTATGTTTTAGAAATTTTTTTATCTACGACCTAGACTAAAGCCATTACAATTGTGATGGAAGGCTATATTTTTTAGAAAAGTCTATAAAATATAGAATATCTTGGTTAATAAAGTAGGAAGAGAAAGCAAGTTAGCTAATACTATGAATACATGTTATATGTTGAAATTTCAAAAACAAATATTTGCAATATAAGCAAATAATTGTGTAATGTATTTTGGTTAGAGTTACCTGTTAACATTATTCCTTCATATATTTTAATGGGAGGTTATAAAATATTTTACAAGAATGGCTCATCTCTAATAACATAGTGCTTCAAAGAAACACTAACAAAAGCCTCTCTATCTTAAGTACAAAAAAAAAAAAACAATGTTAACTTCTTTCCAATTCTCCAAAATATTTACTAAAGATGACTAAGGCAAAAAGATGGTTGGTGAATAAAATTCACCTTCTTTAATTTCTTCTTGTTTAATTTAATGAATTAGGTTTTCCTTAACCTACATTGTCTAATCTAAAGTTAATTTTGGATGACACTGATCTCAAATTAGTTTTAATTATTAAGGTAACAGGCCTCCTGTATGAAGTGGTGGGACTGAAATGAAAAGTCCCCATGCCCAGCAATACTGCTTTTCTTACAGATTGTAGTTTCCCTTTGGAACATCTTCCTCCTTAGCAAGCCAAGGAGGCTCTGACAGCAGAATTTCTTCCAATCTGAGAAAAACCTTTTGTCAGTCTTTACTCACTTCTCCCCTAGCTCACCACCATGACTAATATGTATACACAATGGATATTGATATAAACAAGCACAAGATACAGTCAGACATACACTTACAATTTCTGTAAACAGAAATATAGACAGGAGAAGAAAGTAGTTCTCAGTAACATAGAGAACTAGATACGTAAGCCCTCAATCAGAGGCCCCGGTGACAAAACTGAGGTGCTTTCTCAATGGATTGGCCAATCCCCACACTCTGTGGCCAATCCCCACAATCCTCCCTCCTCCCTGGCCTGGACAAGTGAGGGGCACCCCCTCCCCCACCCCGCCTTTCTGAACTCCCTTAAAATACTGAAGCATTTCTATTGCTCGGTTGTGTTTCAGACAGTTAATGTAATCCTTACCTATCTCAGGTTGAAGTAGAGTTCCTGTGTGTGTATGAGAGGTGGGCAAGGAATAAAGTTACACACGTTTAAGAAAATTCAGCCTGGTACAGCAGGTCCTCAGCATTCAAACTTCTCAAGTGCTTTCTTAGTGTTCTGTGGCCCATCCAGTAGCCTGACTCTGCCCACCTCCCCCATCTTCTGGAACCTAGTAATTCTCTACAAAGGGGAATGGGTGACATGGCTGGAGTTGCCAAGAGCTCTGATTAATGATACACGGCTACTGGAATGTAATATTTTGTTTCTCTGGTTGGAGTTGATCCCATTAAAAGTTTACAACTCTGGCTGGCTAAGGGAACCCTGCCAGGAGCTCCTGCCCCAGCCTCTTCAAGAAGATGAGTGGACATGTGTGTGTGTACTGTTGCACCCAGGTATGATTGAGTGGAGCAACAGAAGATCTGAGAAGTGGGTTGAGGCAGGAATCCCCAGTCAGGGCTGAGGTAAGGAGCCCAGAGGGGCTGAATCATGTGAGTCAAACTACCTGGGCTCCAGGTAAACCGGGATAAGGATTCCATGTCTGTAAACCCAGTGGCGTTTACGGCCTCCTCTTAAATTTCTTACCAAGCTCTCTCTTTGAGGAACTCCCACTCGATCTGAACTTGCCCTGGGTGGGCGCTGGAAGTGCACGTGCGGGGCAGGGGCGGCACGCTAAGGCCGCTCCGCAAAACCCTCCCTGACCGCACAGACCCCGCAGACTCACCCCCGCCACCCACCCCTGGACCACTATGTCCTTACCTTCGCGTCTTGCCAACAATGCGTGCGTGGCAGCCCGCGCCGCTGGCCTCCTCGCGGTGGAACGTCACGGGCAGCGCTTCTGGGGGTGGGATTAGGCCGGGAACCTGGGCCAGGCGTTCTGTCACCGAAAGCGCGCTCCCTCTCCCGGCCCAGCTCGCGTCCAACCCCACTCTTCCCCGAATTCACTGAAGGACCAGGCCTCGGACTGGACAAACCGGGTCCGGGTGCTTCCCCGCCCGCCACTCCAAGCGGCTCTCAACCTTCTCGGACCGCACCCGAGGCACTGAGGCGCTGCCCCCCGCCCCCGCCCCGTCCTCGATCTGGGACTTGGGAGGGACCGCGCGCAAGAGCCATCCCCCCGCCCCCAGCCATCCCTCCGGCCCCTCCTCCTCCTGCCCCCTGCCCCCTGCCCGCGACCCCGGGCAGCTCCCGCACAAACCTAGCGAGGCAGTCCGACACCCGCGGGAGCGCGGGCGGGGCTCGAGGGCCTGAGACCTCGGGAGCTCACGAGGAACCCCGGGAGTGTGTGTGTGTGGGGGGGTTGCCACCCACTCTTTCAGGGTCTTAGGACGAGCTTCCTTGCCGCGCGCGCTGACCGGTCCTCCTGGTCCTGATGCCCGATCCGAAGGTGTGGGGAGTTTGGGGGTGACGCTCCCCGGTCTTCCCTCCCCCGCACCCTCCGGGTCGTCCGCCCCCTCCCCACCCGGAGCAGACTTGCCCTCTTCGCCGTCCAGGCGGCCGCACGGACGAGCCCTTGCCGCGGACGGGACCGATGTCGCGCCTGAGCCCCGCGAGCCGGTGCCGCCTCGCCTGGCGCACCCCGGGCCCCTCGCGGCACCCCGGCGGGTCCCGGGCACGCCGGCTCGCCTCCCGCCCCGCCCCGCCCCGCCCCGCCTCAGCGCTGGGCCGCGCCGTCGGCTCCGCACCCACAGCCCCGCCCGCCCCGCGCAGAGCTGCGGAGCCAGGCGGCGGGGAGCGGGCGTCGCGGGCCCCCGCTGCGAGCCGGGAGGGAGCCAAGCCGCACTCCAGGGTCCAGGGACGCCGCGGCCGCAGGTCAGACCCCGAAGGGCTTCTCGGCGCTCCGGGGGAGGGACTCCCCGCGTGGCTTCGGTGGAGCGCGCCCCAGCTCCGCTGTGCTCCTTGAGGGAAGGGGAATTGGAGCCCTGGCCCCCCTGCGCCTCGGTTACTAGCCCGAGGAGCCTACAGTGGAACGTGTTCAGGCCTATCCTCCACCCCACCAAAGTTTTAGGTTCTTGGAGAACTGGGAATGTTCCGTGGCCTACTTTGCTTGGGCCTAGGGGATCTCTCTGGAGCTCTTCCTGGCACCAGCTCGTTATGCCAGGGAGGGAACTTTGGGTTTTTAGAGAGTCCAGGCTTCCCCTCAATCAACCTTCCCTTGGGACCAGGTTGGAATCCCTAAGGCTTTGGCTTATATTTACCCCCACCCCAGGGTCACCATTGTAGGAGTTCAAACTGGAAAAGTAGCCATGTGGAGCAAGAACAAGGTAGGCCTGTGTTCTCTCCCTGGTTCTGCCACTGCCTGGGGCTTCACTGCCCTGTCATAAGGTTATGCCTTCTGCTCAAGGTTGTTAGAAAGTTACTGAACCAATGTTGCTGTATAAATCATTGTGGCTACCTACCTGAAAGGAGTGGGTTTTAAGCATGCCCACATTCCTCTTCAGGTTTATCCCCACAGCCTGGCCTGAAAGCTCACTGCATGCTTTTACCAGCTGGGGTCCAGGATCCTGAAGACACAGTGGTAGAGGGGAAGGGGCAGGGCATCCTAGATCAGGGAAGGACCGCTATGGCCTTATCAGCATGTCCATCCCTATGGCTTCAACCGTTCCGGACCCAGTTCTTCACATACTATCAAAGGCCACCATCTGGACAGTCTCTGTGATGGAGTGAGTGGAATGCTGAGCTTTTGGGTTATGACAGGGCTTAGGGTTTTTCATTTGTTTAATAGGAGATGGCAAGTTGGGATGAGGTCACCCTCTGGGGCTCCTCCTCTGGGACTAGACAACCTATTCAAGAGTCCTGAGGATTTGGTTTGCCATAAGGCTTTCAGGCATGTTTACTCCCATAGCTGGAAGAGGTAACCAAGGTCCAGACCAGATAAGTGACCTGCCTAAGACCACATTCGTGGACTAGCAGCAGCCCAGTGTCCTGGCCCCTGAGCAAGACTCTGTCCAAGGAATATATACTTCTGGAAGCTGGGCCAAAGCAAGGTTTTTCAGGAGGTAAGTCCAGAAAGGCGGAGATTTCTGTCTGCTTTGTTCATCACTTAATCTCCAGTTCCTAGGTCAGTGCCTGATACATAGTGAGTGCTTGTCAAGTGTTTGTTGAATGAATGAAAGATTCTTGGGAGACGGTGAGTCTCCTGCTCTTTGCTCCCCACTATGGTGTTGGTCCAGCCCACACCTAGGTTCACAGGGACCTGCAGAGGCCCTGGCCTGAATCTCCTGAATTGCTGGGATGCATTCTCCCTGTCCTCTTTTTCTAGGGTCTCCATTTTAGGTTGTTCTAACACCTAAGCCCTATTATATTCATCATGGGCTTCTGCCTGGCTCTGACATGGACATTCCTGGTTGGGTCATGGACATCCATGGGTAAGTACAGATTGAAGAAGTAGAATTAGGAGCAGAGGAACCTTGCTGTGTCAGCATTTCCAATTTCATTCCTTACAGTCTGGTGGCCCTTTCTCTCTCATCTGTCTTCTTTCTTTCTTCATAAAGTAAGGACCCCTGATCCCAGGTGGGAAAAGATGGATGAAGCATACAAGACAATAAAGGATCTTGTGGCCAGATTAGACCCAAAGCTGAAGGGAAGTCACCAGTGTTTTAAAACAATATGAAAACAGTAAACCAACCACCACCACCAATATGGTCCATTTGATTTCATCTTGTTACTGTCAGCTTTGGACAGTCTCTTACTAGAATCTGAGGCCATTCTCTGAAGTCTGGGTCTCTGAGAAGTGGAGTGGGTTTATGATGCTACAAGTTAGGTTAAAAAAAAAAAAAGGCAGTTCCTTATCATCATCAGGAGGATACAAGAAAAGGAAGCATAGGAAACCTGTGGAATGATGAATGGTCTATTCTGACTGAAGGCAGTGGACCCCTGCAGTTTCTCCCAGGACAGAGCTGTTCACATTCCTATTCCTTCCAACTCTCTCTTTGCTTTGATCTTGGATCTTCCTTTTCTAGCCAGCTCTTGCCATTTATTCCCAGGAGGCATTCTACCTTATACCCTTCCCCAAAGGCCTTCCTCCCCCTTGTTCTGCCACCAGTTCATCTTATTTTAGAGATCACATGTACGTAGCTGCCCTAGTTCCTGCCCCAAAGTCTTGAATCCTTGGTTGTGCTCTTTGCTCAAACATCAGGGCCTGAGTCACTTTCTCTGGCTTCTGGGTGAGTGAATGTGCACGCATGGGCGTGCGCATGCACATGAATATGGGGCCAGAGGGTAGCTCTGAGATCTTGCCCTTGGTCTGTGAGGAATGGGTTTCTTGCTGGCTGATGTGGGTCCTTTTCTTTGTTCTTTCTCTGAAGTGACTAGAGAGGGAGTTTTAGTCCTCTAGCCTTTTGGTTTGGGGAAAGGAATATGACTGGTCATCTGATCTACTGACCAGAAGGACCCCCATTCCACCTCTGATTTTGGACCCCTCCCTCTGCCCTCACTGTCTGAGTTCTTCCCTCAACAACTGAGTGCTCCCTTCCAGATCCTAGTTTTTGGAAAGTATAATAGGATCCATCAACAAGGGGAATTATAGGAGGAACATGATGCCTCAACAGAGAGGAAAGGCAAGGTTATCACCAGGCAGTCCCTGATCCCACCCCAGAAACTGAAACTGGAAAAGAGATCAGAGTAGCAATAGACCCCAGGGCCACAGCCCCAGGGCTCGTACTCTTGCCCTGGGCTTTGCTTGGCAGGAGAGGGCCAAGCCCCTCTCCACACTGCCCATACCCAGGGAGTGGTCACAGAATGACCTCTCCTTTCCTGGATGGAAGAGTGGTTGGCTGGCTTTTGGGATGTAGCTGGCTCTTGCTCCATATGATATCTTAGGGCTGGGATTGGTTTCTGTCCTGCCCTATCCCCCAGGAACCTGAGCTGTGAGGGCAGTAGGAAGCTCCTGCATGCCCTTCCACATCGCTACTGTTCTCTAGCTTCTGTCTTGTTCTTGGAGGTTCTTTATCAGCACATACTGCCCCTGGCTATGCTGCTTCAGTGTTCCCTACCATGTTCCCCTCACTGAGAGCTTGAGTTTGGATATCATTTTGTCCTCAGTTCTCTCCCTTTGCACCCTACCTTCCACGGTGTGCCTGGGGTCCACTTCTGCTGCTTTCCTTGCCAGGATCCCAGGACCTTTATCTTGCAGGCTTGCCTGCCCTCTCATGCCTGAACTAACCCAGCTGCCCCTTCCCTCTTCTCACACAGGAGCCCAGAAACCCATTTCCTGGGAGGTGCAGCGATTTGATGGGTGGTACAACAACCTCATGGAGCACAGGTGGGGCAGCAAAGGTAGGTGAGGGCCAAGTGGAGACAGCCCCAGGGCCAGGGTGCCAGCAAAGGCTCATTAATTGTTAAGGTTTTAGGATCTGTGGTATGGAGGGAAGCCTGGGAGAGAGGAGGTAAGAGAGCCCCACTGAGGATTAATCTTTGTCCCTGCCCCTCTAACCTCAGGCTCTCGGCTCCAGCGCCTGGTTCCAGCCAGCTATGCAGATGGTGTGTACCAGCCCTTGGGAGAACCTCACCTGCCTAACCCCAGAGACCTTAGCAACGCTGCCATGAGGGGCCCTGCAGGGCAGGCCTCCCTGCGAAACCGAACAGTGCTAGGAGTCTTCTTTGGTGAGGGCCTCAACCTCTGGGGGATGGAGGCCAGTAGGGTCCACTGGACACCTCTATGTCTGAGGGGGGAGTCAGAGGGTGAGAGAGAGAAGTGATGGAGGATCTTAGAGATGGGGGTGAGAGATGGAGAGGGAGGCAGTGGGATGGGATACTGTTACCCAAAACTGGATTTGCCTCTTGGGGAGTGTTGAGCCAAAAGACACAACTAAGCCAAGAATTAGGAGTTTTATTTGGAACAATAAGGGGGAACATGGAAGATATTTCCCAAAACAGTGTCTTCCCCAATAACAAAATTGGGGAAGTTTTAAGCTAAAGGTACTTACAGATTCATAAAGGCACTTGTACAATGGGGAATTCAGCCTAGAATTTAGGCAAAAGTCATCTCAGAGTGACAGAGTCCAGGTCTTAATTGATGGAAGTCACACAAGGGCTGGCAAAGGTACGCATCAATTCTCTGTCTTTAACTGATCTGATATCTGAGTGCTCAAGGGGGTTTAAATCCTGCAAAGATAACTCAAGAATGTACTTTGGGCAAGTAGTCATAAATTACAAGATGTCTGGGGCCTAAAATGACTTTCCTTAAGTCAAGAAAGCCATGTCTTGTATTTTTTCTGGGGAAGAAAAAGTAAAAGGAGAAAGTCTGGATGGGGGAAGCATAAATTTGCCTCACATTGAGCTGTTGATGGAAGTACAGGTAGAGGCAGGAGCATGACAATAATCTGGTAGGGACTCTTGGTGGGAACCTATTCTCACTTTTTGCTTCTGTGACTCCTAGGACAGTCTTAGGGCAGGGTTCTGATTTTGGCTAGAGGGCTGGTGGAGGTGTGTGTCAAAATAGGGGTGCTAGGGTGGGTGGTGTGACCCCAGTGACTGTGGGTTGTTGGCTCCCAGTTGGAATGCTTGGCTCCTGCTGGCCACCCATGTGTCTACATTTGATTCTAAGTGTCCAGCATTGCAGTGAGACTGACAGGTTCTCTGGGCAGGCTGCTCCCAGCTGCATGTTGGAGCAGG